TCACCATCCCGTGTGTCATCTTGAACCATATTATAACCGCGTTACATAATACGGAAATTTTGGTTATCCGCTTGGATTGATTAATATTTGTTGGTCATTAAATGGGAAACAGGGGTATTATATTAATTATTTCTCAATCGCACTTTCATATTTTACCATTTCAATAAGATGATCGATTTGTTGTAACATCGATTTTCACATAACTAAGATACATATGTGTATACGGTATTATTATTTATAATAAAACTCGTAAAACATTTTCCACGTTTTATCGACGTTTATCGATTATATTATAAGAATACAGCAGGAAATTATAACAAACTAATATGTTTAAATTAACTAATCGGTTAAGTGACTGCAACATAACCGGATTTTATTCGCGGCAGCGGAAATTGGTATAGAGGTGTACACACGTCGTGATATTCACGTTTTATCGACGTGGTGTGATTATATCGGACAAATTTGAGCGAAATTTGGTCCATAACTGACATCGAATAAACCTAGAATTTTCCCTAAGTTTCAACTTCGACCAAAATCACCAAATATCTACGTCGATTCCACGACACCGTGCTGGCTGGGTATAGCCTACCAACAGTACCGACCGCCCAGCAACGTGGCAACCCAGCATGGGGTTGCATACACGAATGCACGTATCATTATTCACTTTGATTCCTTGATTCCGTTATCCCTTATTATTCCAACCAGGCAAACGTCCGCTCGATGAGTTATCCGGCACACAAGTAGATCGAAAACTTATTTCTCTATCATGCAAGTTTTAAGGGCAAATATATGATATAGGTATGTCTAAAATGCCATAGAATTATATATACCGGGTTTGGAAACGTATGAATTGCTAGCACCAAAAAATGGACCGGTTTTCATAACTGCAAACCCTTTTCATCTTTAGTACACTAGTAACATTTCATCAAATTTCGAGCGGTACTTCCCACGTTATAGAGGGGCCAAGTATTAGCGTACAGACAGAGGCAGCCCAAAGGAAATGATTCAAAGAGTGTTATGGTTTTTGGTAATCTAGGGTCGTTTATAACGTCCAAATTTTTGGCAATACTACCTGGTCAGTGGTGTAGGAAGTGAAAATGGTCGAAGTTATCAAATTGGTTTGAAATGTTTACTTCCGGTTTTGCAAATATTTTTTTTTTCAAAATTTAAATGTTTTTCATCTGGAAGTACAGAAAATTTCCTATATGTTTGATAACTGATTTTATTACTCTTCAATTCAAAAAAATTACTTCTCAATTGTGGCTATTTTTTAATCCCATAAGCAAATCACAGGAAAAAGTGCGTTTTTTTCACATCTACAAGATGTACAAATAGGCCCAATATTAACGTATTTTGAAACATTTTTCTTTTTGGTGTCCCATGTGAAAAATGTAGACAAATCTTATAGGAATATCTGCAAGAATACCTGATGAACATATTCAAAACTAAAAATTCAGTTCAAGAGCTATAGTGTCCAATTCAAGTGGAAATACATTTTCCTCAACATTTCCTAAATATTCTTTATAATGTGAAATTCAAAATTTGAAATGTCTTCTGGAGGCTATGCTAGTACACCATATTTTTCACAATGTTGGCAGCAAGGCTGTGAGAGAAAAATGGTTAACAGATGATGCCACAATGTTTTTGAAAAACATATATTCAATTGAAATATTACAATTATTGTTTCCTACTTATACAATGCTTCAATGTGTTACTTCATCATAATATAATAATGAACATAGACTTACTCAGAATATCAGTTAGAATCAAGAATTACAGTTTTGAAAAATGATAGTAGAAAATTAAAAGGTATAAAGATGAATCACATTGCATTTTAGTAAAATTACCATTTAGAAGTATATCTGAGAGTACTTTTGAAGATTTTTAAACTTATAATAATTAAAATTGCTCTATATATCAATCAATGTTCTGTTTCAATAATTCTGTTAACTCAAATCTTTCTTGCTCCTTCTCATATTGCTCTTGTAGTAGCCTCTCCAATTTATCCTGGAACCTCTGCCTCAATGCTAAGTTTTCAATGTTTTCAATTTTTATTTCCTGCTGTTGTCTTTTCAGCTTTACATCATTGATTTCAGCTTCAAGTTCATCCAATCGTGCTTGAATATTAGCTCTAGATAGATTTGACTCTGAGTAGGACATACTAGGACCTGCATGTTGATAGTAATCTATTTCTTGCATGTGCATCATATTTGGAGAATTTTGCATATCCCTGAACATATCACTTGTGAATTCTGTCAGGAGTTTAGCATCTGCGGAGTTATTCAGCACAGAATTTGAGTCTGTTAAGTGACTGTCATCTGCAGAATTTTGACTGTTTTCATCTAAGACATCCAGGACATTGAGATGTGCATCTTCTTCTTCAGAATCACTAACTGCCTCTCCAAATATGTCATGTTCTCCTACATTCTTTGGAGGCTCTGGGGGTTCTTTCTTGATAACAGTACCTTTGTTGACCTTGTTCTCATCTTCTTCATTGATAACTTCCCATTTCACACTCACTGCATCATTGTCAATCCTCAACAATCTTTTTACTTCCTTTTCTATTTCAGGAGCCTCTACATACTTTTTCCTCAAAGTTTTTCTAAATCTTCTCTTCCTAACATTTTTTGTAGGTGGTGTAACTCCATGGGGCCAAAGATATTTCTTGTCAACTTTGTTTGTGTCTTTCTTCTTTTTTTGAGGAGAATCTTCATCAGTTGTAGCTTGATCATCCTCTTCTTTACAATATAGCATCTGGCAAATATCTGCAGTTTTGTAAAAGCCTTTACCATCTATAGTCTTAAGGGACTCTACAATAGTTGGTAGATCAACCACCTTTCCAGTCAACAACCAGTGATCTACTCTGACCTCACCATGACGCATATCGTTTTCGATTTTTATAGAAAACCTGTCTTTCAAATTACTGTGGCTTCTGAGTGTCTCCCTCAAGATTTTTGCTGGTTCTGGTGGTAAACGTAATACAAACTGGGATTCCAACTCAGCAGGGGAATCGGTTTCACCTTCTATGACCTCCTTCTTCATATCTCTTGATAAATTATTAATATCTACCTTTCCAATTTAGGATTTTTGGATATAATTTATTTTGTGGAATTGTGGACAAATTCTGTTTATAAACAAAAAATTAACATAACCTTACTATTGCTTTGACTTATGTCTTGTGTCAACACAGCAGTATGATTCAGGGCTGCCACAAAAATATAAAAATAGGTTAAAATTCGTTGTTCAAAACGTACATCGAAAACGTGGAAAACGTAGGATGCGTAGAAAACCGTAGAAACTTTCTGTATTATATTGTGGCAGTTCTGCATGATCCTAATTTAATTTTTGACGTTCTTACATTGCAGGCTTTTGCGTTTTTTGAGCAAAGTTGCTGAATGTGTTTTGTGTTTTTTTTTTCGTTGTTTTTATTGTTTTGTCCACATGATAACAGGTGGATTCTTTAATTCACCGGTTGATTCCACCACTGATGCTTATGGTTGACACTGTTGACAGCTTTGTATGGTGATGGCAGCAACCGGTTGAATTAAAAGGACAGATGTCTGGTCCACCGGTGGCACCGGTTGCTCAACCGGTGAATTAAAAAATACACCAAACTTGAAGACTTGTGACCATTCTGCTCTGCATCGTTTTGTGTTGTGAAATCGTTGAATTTAGTGTTGAACTCCTGAAGTTTTTTTACATTTGTTTTTGTGGTCTTGTACTTTACAATGTCCTGTAGAGTACCTCATATAGATACAATTCCAAAAAAGGATAATAGCTCAGATTATTTGAAAAAAGCGCATCACTTCTATGAGCAGTCAAACTTCCCAAAAGCCTATAAATATTTTGTGCAATACTTCGAAAGTCTTAACAGCATTTCGGATGTTTCCCCTGAGGATCAGGGGATATTTACAGGAGTTGTAACTAAAATTGCCACAGTGCTTGAAGAAACTGATGATGTTGAAGAACTTCTCAAGTGTTACTTACAAACAATTAATTTATTTCCTGACAATTATTTCATCTTAAACAGTCTTGGTGCTTATATGTTCAAGTAAGTAGAGCAAAGATTACTCAAGCTTAGGCATAATTACCAATGAAGGTTCTTTGTAGATTAGGAGAAAATGATATTGCAAAGAAATATCTAGAACTTGCATTGGAATCACATCCATATTTTTTGCCTGTAAAAAGGAATTTATTGCATTTGAGTTGGAATGAAATGCCAAGGTGGCATTTCAGAATGATGAATGATAGGCTGAGAAATCAGGCATATGATAAGGCAATTACGTCACTTATTAGTAAAGGGTAATTTTTCTTTCTACAAATCATAACATTCCATCATTATTTTAACCATATCTGAGGTGTGGCAGAAAAGTAAGTAATTGTACTGTTGTCCTTAGGGCATGTGTGTCAGTCATGCCCTGTCATTCAGTGCTAGTTTCAACGCCATCCAGTATTTTTGGGACTGGTATCAGTGAAGTTGTGTTTTGGATGCGCAACAGTTGAGCAAAATGGAATAGCAGGAATATTGTAGCTTTAAATTTTGTGTTAGTCTTTCAGAATCAACAAGTGTAACCTTTGAAAACTTGAAATAAGGCCTATGAGGAACATTCCTTATCCTGAGCTAAAGTTTTTCGCTGATGCAAATGAAATAATTTTGGGAATTCAGAGAATATGTTGAAGATGAATGCTGCTCTGGTGGCCATCATCTTTGAAAACTGGCAAATACATTGAATATCTGAACACTCTTATAAGATCAGATCAACTTAACATTAAGAATGTTGAGTGATCAGTTAAATTTAAAGAAATTTACTGTTCATCAAAGTTTATTTGCACATGCGAAAGCTCTGGACATCATTTGGGGACTTTAGGGTGCATTCAAAAGAGTGTACACATGCTGTGAGTTATACTCCATACTATTTGAAGATGTTCAGTGCTGCTACCCAGGCTGGGACCAACATCTCCATCAAGTTGTAGCTGCCCAAGGAAACTACTTTGAACCTGATAATATTGATGTAAAAACTCTGCCATTATTTATTTGCCACACCTTGTGCTATACAAGATGTTCCAATATTCTGGTTCCTAAAATATCTGAAAAAATGTATTTTGTAAAGAAAACTTTGACGCCCTCTAACGGACGAGCACAGAGGTAAACCATGTCCAATTGACTTATTTTGTGTCTAAAAATATGTGGTACTTCTATGTCCACGGAATATTGGGACATCCTGTATACATATTAAAGTAAGTTTCATAGAGTCCCAGTGGTAGTATAGTGTAAGTTGTTCCATATAATTTAAAACTATTTCTGCTACTTGACGTGTCACATAGAGGTATTATGTTCAGAAGCTGAATAACATATCAAGTCATGGGATCAGGATCATTAGGAAATATACAAACAGAAAACCCTTCGGAAAGGACATGACACAACACAAAATATATGGCAGAAGGGTCCTCAGTGGAATTGGCTGAATTCCGAGTACATCTAGTACATTACGATGTCCTGATAAAAGATCGCCATGCAATGTTTCCGAGCCTACCGATTTTTACGAAATACCTAAAACGTCATTTTCCACGATTTTTTAAGATACTTCATATATCTCCATATTTTTTACGGAAAAAGTCAAAAGAAAAGATTTCTATGTACTTTTATGTCCCATACCAATCATACATATGCATACACTTAATACAATCGGCACACAAGCGATGTAGATTTGGGTAAATCATCATTACCGCGTTTCCGGATAAGCAATAAGGAAACCAAAACTCCTAGGTTTTGGATTAAATATTAAATTAAAATTTCAGGTGATGAAGTTTGTTCACGGAGTCGTAAATGTACAATTTCATTATTATTGACACCATGATTTCTAGTATTTTCAAACAACATTGGTATGATCTCAAGGACGATTGCAATGTTTTGTTATTTGAACAGAAAAGTTTGGTGCCAAATCCAGTCAGCTCAATTCTTTAAGTAAATTATTTTTTAGCCATAGTCCACTTATAATTTTCAGAATTAAAAAATATTTTTGAGGTTCGTTTTATGGCTGAGAAGCGGTCTGGTAGCGAAACAGAAAAGTATATCAAAACATACAATAGGTCATGCTTCTCTTTTTTGTTTGTATACCTGTAATCTGTACACAATAACAAAATGTAAGTTTCCCAGTTGTTATTATTTGTTTAAGAAAAACCTGTGTGAGCGTGCAATAAAATTTTGTACTTTTTTCCTACCTACTTGAATCTACCGAATTTCCACGACACTCTACCGATTTCGTGTTTTTAGGTTCGGCAACACTGTCTCCATGGACAGAACAATTCATCTTATTCCAAATTTGTTTTCTAATGAACATTTAAAGAGATATTGATGACCAAAGTTGAGGAATACAAGTATCGAATAATATCTGAAATTTTTTGGTTTGTAGTGGGATGACAAAAAATAACATATTTGTAAAACAAAATAGTGCTGCCAAAAAAAAATGGAATTTATTGCTGTAGAGGTGTTTTCAAATCATTTTAAATATTAACTCTTTATGGAATTTATATTCATGAATGCCTGTTTAAAAATATGAATGGGTTCAATTTACAGACTTCTTGGCTACAATACCAGAACCTTTGATGTTAATTGCCCTTTTCATAAACTGACATTAAGGAAGCCCTAGTTATAGTTGTCTCAAACTATATAACAAATTTCTAGATGATTTAAAATCCAAGATAGCATTAATAAATTTAAATCTGAAATCATGAAGTTATATCCACTCCTTTCCCTGACTCAATTTAATTTTGAGATTGTATATTTTACTTTTTATAGAGATCATGTATTGTAACCCAATCAGAAATATAACTGCATATTATTTTTATAGCATAGACATAAAAAGCCTTATGATATATTATATGATTTTCTCAACCTCTGTCCTTATAGGTACAAAAATGCTATTGACATAGGGGCTGGATGTGGTTTACTAAGTTTGATAGCATCTAAGAATCCTGAAGCCTCAGTTGTAGCGATAGAAGAAAGTAAAACTCTTGCCAGAATGTGTAAAGATGTATTGATAGAGAATAATGTTAAAAATGTTGTAATAATGAACTGTTATTCCACAGATATCAAAGGTATTTTTATAATGATTAGCAAAACTAAAATCACTTGGTTTCATTGTTATAAAAAAGATCTTTTAACAACTTGCCTCAATGAAACTATGAGGTAGATCTGGAAAACAGTATAGATGTCATTGTGTGATTTATTTCAGAACCATTGGGTAAATGTAACCTGATAGTGACAGAAACATTTGACGTTGCTCTCTTTGGAGAAAGAGTCCTAGAAAGTATTCATCATGCACTTAGTACCTTGAAAACAGAAGACGATTTCAAAGTAGTGCCTGCTAGAGCCAAAGTGTACATAACAGGTATTAATCTGCCGTTTATTTTATATTAAAATACTCACACTTTCTAAAACTTGATATCTAAATCAGGATGGAGGGGGCAGTTGCCCCCTCTCTAGAGAAAAACTGCATTCCCTTCGGTTTTTTTATATTGTATATCTAGATTTTCTTATCTGGTCCTGCAAATATAGGTTGCTCTATCTGTCTAAACATGGTGTTTCGACCCTCACCACTGGGATCTCGGAAACGGTAAGAGATATGAAGTCGCTTAAATGGGGGCAAAGTTGCGTATTTATTAAATCAACAAAATGCCACTTAGAAATTTTCGAAATTCAAAGTACTTCCGGAGAGAGACGAAAAAAAAAACAATTTCTCAAAACCGTTTCAATTTTTTCCGACTATTTGTAGTGGAATTTCAAAATAACTTGTACATTAACATCATCGCCACTTTTTCTCTTTCACAAGAGGTCATAATTAGAATTTTAATATGACGTTTCGCCTGTTGTATGTATGTATGTAGGGGGGGTTGGCTTTGGACAAAATTCCATTAGCCACAGATTTTCTAAATCTGTATTACGTGGTGCTTTATATCACCACCTTAGCTAATTTTGCGAACTCAACTATTTTGTCCAGGATGGACTTTCTATCTAAACTTAGCAACGATGACAATTGGATTGGAAGTGATATCTGATCCTCCAAAATTAATCTTTGTATTAAATTAGAAACATATGAGGCTCATTTCCTGTGCATTCAAAGAAAATATAGTTTAAATCTACTTTGGTATTGTCACAGTTATTACCAATGATTCCCATTCTGTAAAGGTGGTCTCCGAATCTACCATGATAATCGAAAATGTGTGATGACCTGACTGGTAAAAAAGGATTGATTATTGCATACAGGTTTCTAGAATTACTACAATATATGCTCCTTCGCTGTTTCCATGAGGCTAGCATATTATTTTTAGAATTATTATTTATATCGTTTATTGAAACATATTTTTTGTACTCGATAGTTTCTACAAAACAAGCTTCTCTGGCCGCCTTGTGAGCTATCTCATTACCGCGTATTCCTGAGTGTGGTTTAGACCAGACAAAATTAACTTTTATGCCTTTCTTTGCCAACTCGCACAAGGTAGCCATTATTTCACTATTGAAACATTTAATAGCTGACCCTTCTAAGCTTTCAAGCACCGACTGAGAATCTGAAATTATGGCTACACTGGTAAGCTCTTTTATATTAATCTTCATCCAGTCCAGTAGATTTTATAGCTCTCGCCTCTTGTCATCCAACATTTTCATTTCTTATTATGGACGCCGTATTAGATTTTTACTCAGATAGAGATTTTAATTCTGATTTCAGAAATGTATAATACATACCTACATACATTGCAATTGCCAAACCTTAGTTGTTTTGCATCGTTTATTTGGAACCCAATTTACAACCACTACATTGATTCTCTTGAGCATGTTCAGAGAAAGTTTCTCAAATTTTTATCTTTCAATGTTGACGGTGCATATCCAGGGCGGGGTATATCTGAAAGTTTGTTATTGTCTAGGTTTCAAATACAGTCTTTAGAGCTGAGAAGGAATTGTGCGTCAATTATTTTCTTGCACAATCAAATTGATGCTAATGAGATTGTGGCTCTACTTAACTTTAATGTCCCATCTATTCAAACTCGTACCGTTAAAATCTTTTATTGTGACAGGTCTTGCACTTATTTATTTTTGGAAGCACCCATATTTGTAATGTGTGAAACTTGCATATCTAATTATTGTGATATACATGCTGACAGTTTGAACAGCATTCTGGGAGTAGCTAGGAATTACCTAAACAATTTATGTGTTTTTCACTTGAGTGAAATATATTTTTTTAATTCTTTTACTTGTTTGTTTTGTCTTTAGATAGAATCACCTGCTTTTTGTATGTTTTCTATTTTTGTTCCTTTGGTTTATCATTTTTTATGATTGACCTGTAAATGGTTTCCTTAACAGTTGGACGATAAACGCTATTTATTTATTTATATTTCAAATAGCAAAATTTCCAAGGTAGGCCTTGAAATTATCAGATAGTCGTTTGTTTTGCATTCCAGATTTCTCCCAAAATCACTTTTATTTTTAACTGACTTTATTTGAGATAGGATTTCAAAATTAATTGCATGTTACTTGGTAAGTGGTATTTTCAATACGACATTTTTTCTTTCGACTTCCATATACAGTCATGGACAAAAGTATGGAAAGATTTTTATTTCAAACATTTTTCCAGCTCGCCTCGAATACAACAATAAATTGTGCCGTTCATTTTATATGCCTGCTTAGGTACACATATTTTCACATGTTTACTTTTTGTGCCATAGACATTCCTACCTTATTTACGTTTTTTTGTTTATGTCTTGGACAAATTTATGGAAAGTTTTTTCATATCAGCATTTAATTATTTAAGATATGTATTATTATCATATTTAACATCATTGGATTATATAGTCATGTATCTCTGCTATAACCAGCACCCTATTAAGAATAGGCAAAAATAAGTATTTGCCGGCAGAGTTGCGACTTAAAGTTGTTGAGTTGAAAAGCAATGTACTATAGCAAGAAATTTAGACTTGAGCGAGGGTGTCGTTTCAAACGTTACTAATCGGCCAAAGTCAGGTCGTCCTAGAAAAACTACCCCCTATGTTGATAAGCCCATTAAAAGAATTTCGATAGCTGATCCGCATAAATCATCCATCCAAATTAATGCAGAAATTCGTCAATATTCCAACACAGACATAACGGCCTGTACTGTGAGAAGACTTCTATGTGAAGTTGGGTAGTTTGGAAGAGTTGCTGTCAAAAAACCGTTACTGTCTAAAAAGAATCAGAGAGACATTTAAATTGGGCACCTAAAAACTGAGATACGGTGCTTTGGAGTGACGAAAGCAATTTTAAAATATTAGGTGCTGATAGAAGATCATTTGTAAAAAGACCTGTCGGAAAAAAATTTCATATCAAGTATCAACAGCCTACAGTAAAGCCTGGTGGCTTCAGTGTTATGATCTGGGTGTTTTTTCAGGTCTGGAACGGGCCTGATACTAAAAATAACTGGGAAAATGGATCGCTTTATGTACCGCGACATATTACAGAATACTATGTTACCTTATGCCGAAGAAGAGATGTCGCTGTTGTGGAGATATCAACAAGATAACGACCCGAAACATTCATCCCATTTAGTAAAAAATTTGTTTTTAGAGAAAATCGTTGATTTACTGGAATGCCCTTCGCAATCCCCCGACCTCAATCCAATTGAGCACCTTTGGGAGCACTTAGAGCGGACAATTCTGCAAAGGATTATTCATAGTGAGAATGATTTATGGGGAGTTCTACAAGATGAATGGCGGAAGATTCCAGTTGTGTGTCGAAATCTTGCTTATTTAATTTGTATGCTTGGCTTTTTTTAATAAAAATATTCTTTCCATACTTTTATCCAAGGGTTTTCTTTATTTATCATACGTAGTCGTGCCATAAGTTCTGTCCCATGATAATCTCATGATAAAAATGAAACAAGATAAGATATATTTATATGAAAGATATTATTTATTCGACAACATTTTTAGAATTCATAATCAAACAGTTTTATTCAAAATGTCCCCCCTTGGCCTTCACACACTGCTTCAATCTCGCGGGCCACTCATCTATCACTGCACGCACAGCTTCCAAAGGAATAGCTGCCGCTGATCGGATCAAATCCGCTTTCAGGGACTCGATATTACGGTGGGCTTTGGAGCAGGCCAACTGCTCTAGCAGGTCCCACAACTTGTAGTCTAAAGGATTGTTGTCCGGACTCCTTGAGGGCCAATCTTCCGCAGCAATGAACTCTGGCACATTGCTTTCCAGCCAGCGCTGCGTACTCTTAGCCTTGTGAGCGGGGGCGGAATCCTGCTGGTAGACCCAGTGTTGGTTGGCAAACAATGTACCACTTAAAGGCTTGACGATAGGATCCACTATGTCGCTCTGATAGTTTGCCGCTTTTGTTTTCACGCCCTGTTTACAGAAATGGAGCTGAGTGACCCCTTCGTAGGACACCCCCCACCAAACCATGACTGACGCAGGGTGGTGGCCTCTCTCAACTCTCGGAATGATCTCCGAAGCTTCCTGTGAACTCCTTGCATACACTTTGTCATTTTGTCGGTTGAATTTTTCTTCTATGGTGAAGATTTTCTCATCCGTGAACAAAATCTTTCGGAATCCCCCAGCTGCGTACCTCTCCAAGAGCTTCTTGGATCTTGTCGCCCTGATGTGTCGCAAGGTGGCCGTAAGTCGCTGGCCCGTACGTCTCCGGTAAGCCCCTAGCCCTAGGTCTTGTTTAATGATGCGCGACATCGTTCGGACAGGAATCTTCATTTCCCTGGATAGGATCTTCTGCTTCCGGAGTGGATTCCTTTGAATCCTGGCTTTTACGGCTTTGATGGCTGCTGGAGTCCTTACTTGACGAGGTCTTCCGCTTCTTGGCCTGTCATCAACAGAGGACGTCTCATTGTACCGCTGAATGGTCCTAGACACAAATTTACGCGATATTTGAAGGCCGCGTAAGAGTTCAAAAATCTGACTAGCACTGTGATTACACTTATGTAAAGCTATCACTGCAATACGGTTCTCTGCCTTGCCCCACTCCATCGTTATGCTTCGAGAGATCAATACAAACTGAGGTATATGTAATTACCCGAAAAGCGCTTAATCAACTGACACCACAATGTAAACAATCGGACAAGTATTAACAGGTCTACACTTGTTTGAAAACGAGGGACAGAACTTATGGCATGACTACGTATATGAGACTTGGTTTTATTTTTTATTTTCATTTATTTCTAAAATGTTACTAAGTTAGTAGTGTATGTTTATTTTTTAGTAGGTAATTAATTATTGATTAACAAATATTGAGAGTATAACCAGAAAACAAATCTTTCCATAATTTTGTCCATGGTAGTATATACACCTCTGTTCATTTGGTTGATGTAATTATTGGAATTTTGTAAATTTAAATTAAAT